GAATAAATTCTGGAATGCAATGTATAGCCCAGTTAATAACACTGTATTGTATGCTTGAAATCTGCTGAGAGATCTTAACTGTTCTCGTCACATACACACACGCACACAAGGTTATTGTGTGAAGTGATATCTTTGTTAATTAGCTTAATTGACATAATCATTCTGTAAGTATATATGTAAATATATCACATCACCACATTGAACAACCTGAATGGACTCAGTATTTGTCAGTTATACTTCAATAAAGTTGGATAATTTTTAAATAGTATCATTTCATAGTATAACAACAAAAAACCTGATCTTTATAAATTCAATAGAGACTCAGGGAAGCTGAAGAAACTTGCCATGATCATACAGGTATATTACAAAATTAGAAATTTTAAGATTTGTTTTTACCTCAATACCTTCAATTTCTTATTTAACACATTACTAGCAAATATACTTTATTTGTTTGAATGTTATCTGGATTTTTTAAAGTGAATTTATATGTATTACATGTAATCACCACAGAAACAATTTTACTAGTTATAGTGTCCAATATGGTGATGGAGATTTTGAAATGATTGTCTAGGAAATAAGAAAGAAACACAGAAGAGTGATTCGAGGGGGTTGGAGCAATGACAGTGCTTGAAATGCCTCAGCTGCAGGAACTGTCACAAGTAAACGAAGAATCGCGCATGCCCTTTGGGTTGGTAACTATAGGAGCATTGCGAATGGGGATCGATGGTGCTAAATTCAGGGAGACACGCCTGGCCGGAGTACAGCTTTGATTGCAGAGGCTGGATGGGTTAAGGCGATCAGCTTCCCAGACTTCACTGACGCACAGTTTCCTATTTTCCACTCATTTGCGCATAGATTGAAGGTACATAGTGGTGTCCTGCGACATCTTTGACTCCGCCATCTGGCAACATTTCCAAAGCCAGCAAAGTTAGGAAAACATCAGTGGGTGTCCTGTTTCCTCTCTTCCTTCTCAGTCTCATAGCATATATCTTGTATTGCCATAATGAATATAAGAAATGATGAATAAGCGTAGTTTGGACATTTTAAGTCTTAGATCATACTTCATCGCTGCTAATTAGTTTCAGGTTAAAGCCCTTTATAATGGGAGAAAGTTTAGAAATCCTAGTTAGCTTTTAAAATCCCAACTCATTACGGCACTTCAGAAAGGAAGCTTGGATCTGGGGCAAGATAACAGACTTTCAACTAGTTTGGTGTGTTAAACAGCTGAATCTAATCCCATAAACTGGAATGATAATATAGTTATGGAAGAAAGGGGATGAGTGATGATGCAACATGGAATTTACAATCAGTTGGATAGGAGGTCTACTGTTTTATATAGTGATAGCTCCAACATTTTTATAAAGGGTTTAATTATGTTATATGTTCTGATTGTCAGTTGAACAATGCCTTGTATTTTAAAACATGCCCAATGTTTTCACAAAGAACAAGCATTTTTCTTTTTGAAAAGATGTTAGAACAAATGATATACATGAGCAATCAAATGTGTATAAAATTATATCTGGGTCATATTGTTGATTCTTATTCTGTTATTTTCAATATAAAATCTGAGAAAAAATTCTCATATCTGGACTTGTGACAAATTGGTTGGGATGAAATTTAACTTATGTTAAATTCGAAATGCCAAGAGGAAAAATTTGGCAAAATCTGATGATTTGAGAAAAAAATGTTGATAAAATTGATTGTGAAATAAAAACTGTAAGGGAAATTAAAAAGTATGAAATTATTTAAACTGGAATACTAAATATAGGTATATGCAAAGGGTTATTAAAAATAATTCACCAGCTCTTGTAATAAGGGAGTTAGACTACAAATTAAACTATAAGGGACCTTGGAAACCCTATTACTCTAGTACCTTAAAAATAAAAACTCCCCCACCCTGCCCCCCCTGCAAAGAAAACCCAAAAAACTCCCAAATATCCATGTTTGCTGTTAAATGCAGTCTTGATTGAGTGACATATCAGGAAGATATGTTATCAGTTTCACTTAGAACTCTTAGATGCAGTTGACAGGCCATGCAGTATTACAGTATTTTGAAAAGATAAAGACTGCTGAGAGATAAGTATACGGGACTCTATGAATGAGGTTTTAGAGAAGAAAGTGGTTCTTAAATGTTGAAAACCCACTAAAATCAATTTTACAACCTCATTGCAATTAAACTTGTGTAGTTTATGTAAATATGGGCCAACAGCCAGATTCAGAACATGTTACAAAGAAAATAAAAGAAGAAACAGATTAACAACAAACTGATTGTTTTTTATTACTAAACCAAATAGGAGTTCATTAAAATTTAAAAGAAAGGAAGAGAGAAAAAACACAGTCATGGTTATTCATTTAAATGCCTGCAATTAATTTGGAATTAATTAAAATTCTCTTCTTGTTTCTTAATAATATAATATGAAGCATATTCCAATTTTCTTCTTGTGAACTGATTAAGATCCTTCCATATATGCTAATATACAGAATAAATGCTTGGACAAATTTTAGTGTTTACTCATATTGAGAACGGGAGAGATAATGAAAGGGCTAAAGAAAAATGGGAGGTGGGAGTGGAAAAGTAGTTTTGTACATGTAAAAGTTCAACATAGATTATTAAAGGAAAACATAGTTTTGTTTCAGTAGTGACTTATAGTAACAGAAAATTGCATCATTAGTCTCATTTTCTGTCTTTGAAAAACTGAAACTTGAGAAACGAGTCACATGAAAGAAAAACACAGCAATTTTTTATGTTTTCTTTATAAAAAAGAGGTTTCTGCATTTTAACATGTTTAACTCTTTTACCGCTTGGTAAATTTGCTAAATTCTCAAAATTATGCGAAAATTTTGGTTTTTGGTTCAAGCTGGAAGGAAAGAAGTGACTTATAACCCAACTGAGGCTTCAGACCATGACTTTAAAGTGATACCAGTTGGCTTATGTGTTTTGTTTTCTGTATGAAGTAACAAGAGAGGCAACTTTTAGTGGTCTTAAAGGACAACTGTGTTGCAAAAGCATGCTGTACTGGAAATGCCTCAGAAGTTTGGCAGAGACATTTCATTTTGGGTTGAACCAAGGTAAAGGGAAATAACTGAAAACAAGAGAGGGAGGAGAGTATCCAAAAGGAGAAAAAAAAGAAAGAGGGCTGGTTATTTCAATAAAGCATCCCCCCCCCCCCCACCATGGGGCTTGATAATTTAGTTGAAAACAGAGTGGGATCAGTTATTCCAAATGATAGCAAGATCCAGCTTGTTTTCATGGAAATAAGTGCCTGATGAGACGGAAGGACAGATAATCAAAGTAGAGATGTATACATAACTATAATACTACTATATTGGATAGGCTACCCAACAGATGTCTGAAGTCACTCAGAATGGTGGCAGAATTTGGGTGTGACAACAACAGAAATAAGTCAATGCTTTTCAGGGTGTGGGAGTGAAAAAATGGCAGAGTTAGTAGCTTCCTTGCTTAAGTATCATTGAATCTCAAAACGATAGGGATCCCCCCCATTTATTTAAGGTGGAAGCATAAAATTCTAGGGGCTTTCCACATGGCACAGTGGGAAAGAATTCACCTGCCAATACAGGAGGTGCAAGAGTTGCCACTGAGATCTGACCTATGAGCCAGAAGGATCCCCTGGAGTAAGAACTGGCAGCCCACTCCAGTATGCTTGTCTGGGAAACCCCATGGAGAGGTGCCGGGCGGGCGAGTGTCAGTTCAGTGCAGTCGCTCAGTCGTGTCTGACTCCTTGCAACCCCATGGACTGCAACACGCCAGGCTTCCCTGTCCATCGCCGACTCCTGGAGTTTACTCAAACTCATGTCCATCGAGTCAGTGATGCCATCCAGCCATCTCATCCTCTGTTGTCCCCTTCTTCCTTCTTCAATCTTTCCCAGCATCAGGGTCTTTTCCAGTGAGAAAGTTCTTTGGGTCAGGTGCCCAAATTATTGGAGTTTCAGCTTCAGCATCAGTCCTTCCAATGAATAATCAGGACTGATTTCCTTTAGGATGGATTAGTTGGATCTCCTTACAGACCAAGGGACTCTCAGCAGTCTTCTCCAACACCAGAGTTCAAAAGCATCAATTCTTCTGCACTCAGCTTTCTTTATAGTCCAATTCTCACATCCATACATGACTAATGGAAACACCATAGCCTTGACCAGATGGACATTTGTTGGCAAAGTAATGTCTCTGCTTTTTAATATGCTGTGTAGGTTGGTCATAACTTGTCTTTCAAAGAGTAAGTGTCTTTTAATTTCATGGCTGCA